AAGGTTGGTTTGAGAGATTTAAGAATTGTAGTGACATACACAGTGTGATAAGGCCTGTTCTGGAAGAAAATACCAAACAGGACCTACAGTACTCAGGAGGAAAAGGCACTCCCAGTAAACAGTGTCTCATCAGTCATTGCTGCATCTTCAATAAAGGTAAGTGTCATTTATTCTTCATTTAGTAGAGTAGTACATGCACAATATATATTGTGCATGTACTACTCTACTATTGTGCATGTATCCTTCTCTTTGTGTGTAGGAAAATGTATATTTCATGTGGTAAAATTTTTTTTTTCATACTTTTGGGTGTCTTGCACGGATTAATTTGATTTCCATTATTTCTTATGGGGAAAATTCATTCGCATACCGAACATTTCGCATAACAGCCAGCCCTCTTGCACGGATTAAGGTCGCTATGCGGGGGTCCACTGTATATATATTTTATATATATATATATATATATATATATATATATATATATATATATATATATATATATATATATATATATATATATATATTATATATATATATTTCCCTTTATTTATTCCCATCTTCCATTTATACACCTTAATCATATTCCCCTTAATTCCATGCCTTTCAAGAGTGTAGATTCAGTTCCCTCAGCCTATCATGAAAAAATTTTCTGATACAGTTGAAATCAACTTTGTGATCCTCCTCTGTATGTTTCAAGCACATTAATGTCCATTCTGTAAGATGGTGACCAGAACTGAACAGTATAGTCATAACGTAAATTAGATCTTACCAACGGTACATAAAGATGAAGAATAAACTGAGAACTTCTGTTATTTATACTTCTTGATATATTTATTTTTTTATTATCACACTGGCCGATTCCCACCAAGGCAGGGTGGCCCGAAAAAGAAAAACTTTCACCATCATTCACTCCATCACTGTCTTGCCAGAAGGGTGCTTTACACTACAGTTTTTAAACTGCAACATTAACACCCCTCCTTCTTGATATGAAGCCATGAATTATGTTTGCCTTATTGTAAACACTTAACACACTGTTGTCTTGGCTTTAGATTACTATTTAATTACAATTAAAGGTTACTCAACAGATTCCATATTGTATAAATATATATTAATTCAATGTATTAATCAAGAATTATCTGTAATAGTGTACCTAGTGTTAGGGGGGAAATAACAATTCGCAGCCTGCACCATACTTAATGTATTGTGAGTTTCCCTTTATTTAAAATTTGAATTATAGCTGTGAAGGAGGAGTCATAGCTTTTAACTGATGAGAATAAAGTACTGTATTAACTGATGAGAATAAAGTACTACTGTATTAAAAAAATCATGTAAATAACAAATGAAGATGTCATATATAATAAATTAGTAGATATAACAAATGGAGTGGTAAACCTTTAATGAGTTTCAAGTTTCTACTCCCGGGGCCTGGCTATGGACCAGGCTCATCGGGTGCTAGCCTGGTCAACCAAGTTAGCAGAAAATTTATGAAGCTCAATAACGGTGAAGAAACGGGTAAGGAGATGTTAATCCTCTCCTTAATTAAGAATAAGAAGGTACAATAATGCATGTTATTGGAACAAGACACAAATAATCAGCATGTAGGAGAAAGAAAATTAAGATGTTTCGATCCAACTTGGACAATTAATTAGTTACTGGTCCAAGTCATCATAAGTTTCTTTTTCTTATGTGTGGCTTATTTGTCTATCCTTCTCCTTAGTGTTGGAATGCTGTGGTTCCGTCAAACACATTCTCTATCAAACGTATTTTCCATCAAACAAGTTGCTAATGTTTACAATACATACAAAACAGTATTAGTAGGCAAACTTACCCTGTTTGTATGTTCCTCATCTTCCACCAGTGTTCCTGTGTGTCTTCAATCACCTCCAGCTCGTCATGCTGTGGAAACCCAGAGATCATTACAAACTCAACCCTATTACATGGATGGAGTTTTCTGAATTTAATTCAATTCTGACTTCATTGTTAATTTATTCATAATACTGTATAACTTCCCTCGACCTTTAAATCTTCTACTGCCACTAAGCAGAATTTTAAAAGTATGAAGTGAGCAATGACTAAGTGTACTCACTTTCCGTAAGGAGAGGTCCCCAGGATCCGTGGCATTGTAGTCGTACAACGCAACCACAACCTTCCGTTGCTGTTGATACACAAACATTACAATTAATGTTAAATATACACATGTAATCCAATACACGCATATATATAAATATGCAGCCATAAAGTTTTATCTTTAAAGTTTGACAATTAGAATTATTCAAAACGTACATATGATCAGTACATAGAGTAACAAATAATAATAATAATGAAATTAATTGTACCAATAATAATGATAATGAGTAGATGGAAAATTTAAACAAATCTAAATGGCAGGATTAAAACATGTATTTATTTAAATTTCTGCCTGCCAATTTCAAGGCACATACAGTAGATGTGGAAAATACTGTATATTTTCCAAAAATACAGTGTATTTTGTATGTAAATTGATGGAATATATTGTAGGTAATAAAAATTAATTTGTAAATAAATAAAGAACCAGCGACGGTGGGTTAGCGTCGCTGGGGAGAGACACCATTGCTTTGAACTAGGCAAGAGAAACGTTAGTGAAAATTGGAAGAATTTTCGTTGCTCTAGAGGTTATATTGTGCTTAAAACCTCTCAAATAGGAGCTGAAATTGTTGGATTTGCAGTCCTGCAGAACGTGAGAATTAGGCGACTGGACAGGACTCCATAATTAGATGGAAACAGGATAAAATTACCCCATTTGAGCGATGTCTATATTTATGTTGAAATTCTGGCCAGTATTTTCTTCATATTTTAGGCAGGGGTTTGTGTATGACACACCAAGTAATCTCCAGACAAATTGGTGAGTGTTATTATTATAAATTCTCCTTCATTGTATATGTAGTCATTTAATAAAATTAACATACAGTCCACATATTTATATTAATGTTGTACCAGAATTCCTGGTGATGTATATTTCATTTAAAATTAATATAGGTCCAGACTGGCTTGTGGAGATAGAAAGAGTGGAGTAGGTATCGAAGGGGGTCATTTTTTGCGACCTAGAATGTCCTAAAATTCCTACATGTCTCTGTAACCTTGATAAAGAATAATTATCTTTGTTACCATTTACTGGTATGTATCTTATGAGATTCATCCAGGTAATTTTTAAATTTTCCATAGTAGACCCTCCCTTTTCATTGGGCTCTGTTTTCATGAACTTCAGTTATCACTGACTTTTTTCACAAAAATATTGGCTAAGTTTTCGTTACTTTCCTCCATTCTCACCGGTGGAACAGAACATGTCTGAGTATGCCAGCACGCACACAACCTCCCACACATTCATTCTCAGGCAGTGTCGCTTTGTTTCTCGGTGAGTGAACATTATCCTGCGAGGTCATAGGAAACATTTCATAATAATTCATTGTTTTTTGCACTTGTTTATTCTGCATAACTGCTAAATAAGCCAAATGGGCCCAAAGAAATCTGCTAGTGCCAGTCCTTTGGTAAAGAAGGTGAGAAATACGATAGAAAAAGATTGTAGAAAAATACGAAAGTGGTGGTGGTAGACGGTGTAGTGATAGCGGTAGAGGGTGGTAGTGATGGTGGTAGAGGGTGGTGGTGATGGTGATAGAGGGTAGTAGTGGTTGTAATGGTGGTAGAGGGTGGTAGTGGTTGTGATGGTGGTAGAGGTGATGGTGGTTGTAATGGTGGTAAAGGGTGGTAGTGGTTGTGATGGTGGTACTGATGGTAGAGGGTGGTAGTGGTTGTGATGGTGGAAGAGGGTGGTAGTGATGGTGGTAGAGGGTGGTAGTGATGGTGGTAGAGGATGGTAGTGATGGTGTAGAGGGTGGTAGTGATGGTGGCAGAGGATGGTAGTGGTTGTGATGGTGGTAGAGGGTGGTAGTGGTTGTGATGGAGGTAGAGGGTGGTAGTGGTGGTAGAGGGTGGTAATTGTGGTAGAGGGTGGTAGTGATGGTGGTAGAGGGTGGTAGTGATGGTGGTAGAGGGTGGTAATGATTGTGGTAGAGGGTAGAGCTGCAAGAGCTCTCTGGACTGTTTTCTTGTACAACAGAGGTCCAGTGACTCTTAAGCTGGTGCTAGTGCCATTAAAAAAAAAATAGAAGGGAAGTAACCCAAGATAAGGATTTGGTACCTGAAGTCTTTATGGAAGAGGATTCCCCTCCCAAACAATAATCAGTCCTCCCTCTCCTCTCCTCCCTGTCTTCCATACACCAACAAGAGTCTAAAGTAAAGGTAAGTGTGATGTTAAATGTTCATTTATACATGTTATTAATGCTTTATAATATATCTGTCATTCTTTTCTGTATGTAAATCTATATTTAATTTCTAAAAAAATATTTATTATTAATATTTTGGGGAGTCTGCAACGGATTAATTGGATTTACATTATTTCTTATCGGGAAAATGGTTTCAGTTTTCGTCAATTTCACATTTCATTAGACTCTCTGGAACGGATTAATGATGAAAAGGGAGGGTCCACTGTACATAAGGAGAGTAAGCACTGAGGTCTCTGCTACACTCTTGGGTAATTTATATTATTCAACTTATTTGTGGGTTGTGCAAATAACCACAGAGAATGGAAAAAAAGAGCTAGAGGCCTTTCGATTCTTGAACAGGACCCCCATCAGATGCTGGGCAATTAGATAGTTGATGTAGAAATGCTACCTCAAGCTGCGAGGTCCAAGGTTAAGACAGTGTTTTGGCACCAGGTGGGCTCACTGGGCACCCCTGTTATGCTAGGTGGTGTAATGGGGAGAATGAAGCTCACTGATGTTAATGTACCAGTTGTCTATATTTGTTCTATGTTATGTCCATCAAATGTAAGTCCCAATAATAATACTCTACTCTGTTATTTAGGACCTCACACCTTAAGAAAGTTTGAGTTGTCTGTGTAAATTATTTTATCCAATAACTTATGATGAAGGTTATGTTCAGAAGTGAAAGGCCTCCAGCTCTTGTTCCACCCCCATGAATTATTAGCATACACTAGTCGACTATGTGTGAGTACTGCATTATTCATGGTGTAATTAGGTATCCTTGAAAAGGTGTCTTTAAGAGGCTGCCAGATTTTTTCTTCAACTTTTTTATATTATTTCACTCATAACCAAAGGATGCCTCATCCAATTTGCTTCAAATTTTCAACACTTATATATATGGAAATGAGAACCAAATTCTCCTAACTGGCTTGTTCACATGCTCTATGACCAAAGATACTGACCCCCTTCCCAGCCTCATGGAACAGCTTGCATAGTTTCCAATACCCTCAGTGGTGTAACTGTGAATTATTATGTGAGCAATTACCTGCAGGAGGTTTACAGGGTATTACCTGAATTATTTCCTGCAAGTAATATGGGTGAGGTAAGTGGGACTAAGTCACAGCAGGTTGCCGAACTGTCAGTCCCTCAATGCCCACTCCCTACCACTCATGAAAAGCTAGACCTGACATTAAATTAATAATTACAATATTAAAACCAGCTACTCCGGTAAATTAAAGTTGTGTGGACTGTATATGATTAGGCTTGCTGGGCAAGCAGAATATAATTATTGCACATAAATTATAATAGTGTTATTAGAAAGGAAATTTGTATTACCACTTACCATTTAATTACTGGATCATAATTATTTTTTTGAAACATACCCTGTTGCTACCACTACGGTTTGAATTTACTATGGCCAATGCAAGACTATTGTACATTATGGGTAAGCATCACTTAACTAAGGTGTGCTCCTAGGAAGAATCGGTGTCCTCTATTTTTCCATTCTTCTTGCTGAATTGTAAGGGTTTTCCACATTATTTATCCTAATTCTTCAGCAGGAACATGTCAGCAATTTTTAAATAATGAACTGAGGTTGATATACACCAAATGACCTTCAAGAATGCCTGATTACATTGCACAATTTAACCAGTGTTCACACATTAAATTCATTATGGTGTTCTCTCTGTCACATCACTCAGCAACTGTTCTACACCCCTCCTCACTCGAAATTTCTCGATAGGGTCAAATCAGCATCACGTTTTGTTACACAATTATTGTATTATTGAAATTAACACATGCTGAATTTAGAAAAATCCCAAATTTTCCACAGTAGCTCCAATCACTCATAAAAGGTGCCAAAAAATACAGTGACAGCAGAGAGTGAAATTCAAATGTGTAGCTGCACATATGACCATTTTGTGTGTAAAATAGTCTGAAAATTTTATTGCTAAACCCATGGTGGTCATATTGTACCCAATGAATGCAAAATGTTTGAAAACAAATTAACAAAAAAAAAGGGGGGATAGGGTATTTTATAAGCAACGCTCTCAAATACATAAAAAATGTGCACCGGGGGAGTGTTCAGTGGTCAGTCGTCAGTGAGGTCCGACCCGAGCTGCTTTGGGGTTTAGCGTGGAGGTTACAAAGCATGCTTGCTTCTGCAGTGTTTTAAAAACTGAGTTTGGAGAGTTGAAGGAGGAGGTTTGTTCTCCAGGAGGAATTAGGGGCTAAAAGGTCCCCCAAAGGGGCCCCTGGGGGGAGAGGTGTGAGGTGGTTGGGATGTGGGGAATGGGGCTTCTAGCAGTGAGGTGCGTCTGTTTCACTGTGGGAGGCTTTGGTGGGGGGTAGCAAGGGTCCCCGGGCGTGAGGTGAGCCCAGCCCTGCTACAAGTGGCGGTTGTTCACAGTAATGGGGGCGCATAGAGTAAGGAAAGTTAGGTGAAGCAAAGGTGGAAATCCTTCTTGTTCCCCGGATAAATTGTATTTCAGGGGCCAGTGAAGGTAAGGGTATACTCCCCCTGCTAATGAAGGAAGCGCATTCTTGGGGTTGGGATTTCGGGTTTAGATATGTTGCCCGTGCTTTTTGAATAGGAAAAAGAAGTTGAGAAAAGAGTGTCTTCCTGGGGGGTTTTGGGGGACATTTCAACGACTGGAAAATTCATGTCAGGTAATGGGAACAAGCCCATTTCTGTCTCAGTCTGGTGGAAATGATTTTGGGGAAAGGGTAGGAGAGAAGAGCTGTAGTAAGTACGGGTCAGCTATGATTTTCATTAGTCTAGGGGGGATCCCAATCAATGTGCATCTTCCCTAGAAGGGGGTGGGAAAAATGAATGGTTGTCTGGGGCAATTGGTGAAAA